ATCTTTTCATACTTCTCCTTGCAAGGACTTGATGAAAATTTTCAAAAGTGGAAATTTTGGCAAAGTGTGTCTAGCGAGATGATGAATTTTTAGACATCGAAGGTATGCGAAATATAAATCTTAAAACATCTACGTGTATAGTATGGACTTCGAAGGATGTCAGATATATTTCAAGACTTAAGAGAATGTTAATCTTTGTGGGTATGTTGGATGTTCAAGGATATCGAGTCATATTCGAAGAAAACTAATAGAAGGTGGTAAATGGTAATCTAATCGTTGCTCGTGGTTGGAAGAAAGGAACCTTATACATGGTAGAATTACCTACAAAAGAAGTAAATTCAATTAGTGATGATGCTAGTCATTCTTCAACTTTGTGGCACCATAGACTTGGTCACATGAGCGAGAAGGGTATGAAGATACTAGTCTCAAAGGGGAAGATTCCAGAACTAGAAAATGAAGAAATTGGTTTCTGTGAACCATGTGTGTTTGGGAAGCAGAAATGAGTTACTTTTGCAAAGTCAGAGAGGATGCCCAAGGTAGAGAAGTTGAAACTTGTTCATACAGATGTGTATGGGCCAACATTAGTCTTATCATTGGGAGGATCACGATATTATGTCACCTTCATTGATGATTCCACTAGAAAGGTATGAGTTTATTTTTGAAGCAAAAATCAGAAGTATTTAATACTTTTAAGAAGTAGAAAGTCATTGTTGAGAATGAGACAGGGTTAAAAATTAAATGTTTAAAGTTTGATAATGGTGGTGAATATAGTAGTACTGAATTTGTTTATTACTGTGCTGAGAATGGAATTAGAATGCTTAAAACTATTCCTGAAACACCTCAACAGAATGATATTGCTGAAAGAATGAACAAGACCTTGAATGAGAGGGCAAAAAGTATGAGAAATCATGTAGGATTACTAAAGACATTCTAGGTAGAAACAGTGAGCACAATAACATACCTCATTAATCAAGGACCCTCAGTTCCTATAGGATTTAAGATTCTTAAGGAAGAATGACAAGGCAAAGATGTAATTTCTCATTTGAAAGTATTTAGTTATGCTTCTTATATTCGTGCTAAAGATGTTAACAGGGACAAGCTTGATCCAAAAGCAAGAAAGTGCATTTTTATTGGTTATGGAGCAGATGATATGGGATATCGCTTTTGAGATTATTAGAATAAAAAGATCATCAGAAGCATAGATGTTACATCTAATGAAAATGCAATGTACAAGGATAGACTTGAGACAAAAGCTGAAGCTAAAAAGAAGCCAACAAAGATGGAAAAGATAATGTTAGAGGACATTACAAAAGATGATTTTTTCAGGAAAAGGTGGGACCTTAGGAGACAGGATTGTTGAGGAGACTACTCCTATCACCCTAGTAGTTGAAGTGAGGAGATCCAACAGAGTTATTAGGTTTCCTCACAGGTTTTCTCCTTCAACAAATTACTTGTTGTTGACTGACGATGAATAACCTTTGTGTTATGATGAGGCATTGCAGATGGATGATGCAACTTGGTGGGGGTTAGCCATGCAAGAGGAGATGAACTCCCTTGAGAAAAATAAAATTTGTGTTTGACTAACCTACCAGTAGGAAAGAGGGCATTACAGAACAAGTGAGTCTTCAGGATCAAGGAAGAACATAATGACAACAAGAGATACAAGACAAGGTTAGTGGTGAAAGACTTTCAACATAAAATAGGTATTGACTATAATGAGAATTTTTTTTCTCCTGTAGTTAAAATGACTACCATTAGATTTGTGTTGAGCGTTGTGGTTGTAGAGGATTTACATCTAGAGTAGTCAAATGTTAAGACAACATTCTTACATGGTGAACTTGATTAGGACATCTACATGATGCAACCAGAGGGTTTCCAAGTTGTAGGGAAAGAGAACTTGGTTTGCAAGCTGACCAAGAGTTTGTATGTGTTGAAGTAAGCACCTAGATAGTGGTACCTGAATTTTGATAGTTTTATGAGTAGGATAGGGTACAAGAAATGTGTCATGGATTAGTGTTGTTATATGAAAAATTTTGGTTCATCCTATATCATATTACTATTGTATGTTGATGACATGTTAGTTGCAGGATCTAACATGGATGAAATTAATAGATTGAAGGCACAATTGTCTAAAGAGTTTGAGATGAAGGATTTGGATATTGAAAAACAGATTTTGGGCATGAATATCAGCAGGAACAGATTTGAAGATTCTCTAATATTATCTCAAGAGAAGTATATTGGGAAAGTGTTAGAGAAATTCAATATGCACGATGCCAAAATCGTAAGTACACCTTTTGGAGTTCACTTCAAATCTCACTAAAGAGGAATCACCTAAGACAGATGAAGACAACACAACAATGACTAAGGTTCCTTATGCATTTGCATTCGATAGCTTAATGTATGAAATGGTATGCACTAGACCAGACATTACTCATGCAATGGGAGTTGTTAGTAGATTCATGTCTAATCCAGGAAGGAAATAGTGGAAAGTTGTCAAGTGGTTGTTACGCTACTTGAAAGGTACTTCTAAAACTACATTATGTTTTAGAAGAAATGATGTCATTTTGGAAGGATATTCTGATGCAGATTTGGGAGGTTGTTTAGACACAAGGAAGAGTACTACGAGATTTGTCTTCACAGTAGTAGCACAACAGTTAGTTTGATATCTTGACTTCAGAAAAACATTTCACTTTCAACCACAGAAGCAGAGTACATGGCTATTTCGGAAGTCAGTAAGGATATTATTTGGTTGAAGAATCTTCTTGTGGAGCTAGGCAAGAAACAATGTGACAATGTTCTTTATAGCGATAGTCAGAGCATTATTCATCTTGCAAAAAATCCTATTTTTCATGCAAGAACAAAGCACATCCAGTTGAGGTATCACTTTATTAGAGAACTAATAAGTGATGTTACTTTGTTTTTGGAGAAGATCCTTGGGTTAGAGAATCCTACAGATATGTTGATGAAGGTGGTTACTACTGAGAAGTTGAAGTTTTGCATAACTTCAACTAGCCTTCATGGTAAATTGTTGAAAAGACATTGCACTAGTTTAAGATTGGTATAATGTTGAGGTTTACTATATTTACTTTGGAGTGTGCTTGATGTGATCAGCTTCCAAGTGGGAGATCATTAAGTATGTAGAGTCTGAAGGGTTATTGTGTCTGACCCATTTACTTATTCTTTTATTATAAATACTCATGTAATTGTAAACCTAATTAAGTGAATAAGAACTATCATCTAGTGTAGTCGTGGACGTAGGTTACTAAACCACGTAAATTCCTTGTGTTCTTGTTATTTACTTTCGTCTTGTACTGCATTTGTGTTCCTAACAGATATACTTTTGAAGAGTCACGTGTTACGGCTGAATGGATTATAAGTATTGTTTTTTATTTATGATAATATTTATTATGTCCTAATTACAAAATATCTTACAATTTGAATAAGAACTATCATCTAGTGCAGTCGTGGACGTAGGTTACTAAACCACGTAAATTCCTTGTGTTCTTGTTATTTACTTTCGTCTTGTATTGCATTTGTGAACCTAATTAAGTGAATAAGAACTATCTTCTAGTGCAGTCGTGGACGTAGTTTACTAAACCACGTAAATTCCTTGTGTTCTTATTATTTACTTTCGTCTTGTATTGCATTTGTGTTCCTAACAGATATACTTTTGAAGAGTCATGTGTTACGACTGAACGAATTGTAAGTATTGTTTTTTATTTATGATAATATTTATTATGTCCTAATTACAATATATCTTACAATTTGATTGTGTTGCAGGATTCTTTGGTTGAGGAATGTACCCAGGGTACTTTTACTCTTGAGGGTCGGCATGATATCCTAATAACTGCCCTTGGTCAACCTGAGCACCCTAGTTGTGTTCGAGCTATTGGAGTAGGTATGGGGATTAAAACTTTCTTTGGATCAGCAGCACATAAGTCATATTCCTCATCAAAAGACCCTAATAAGGAGTATATATAGAATTTGATAGCACAATTAAGGGAGGAGATTAGGGATGAGCTAAGGGAGGAGCTCAGACAAGAGGTTATGGAGACTGTGACACAAAACTTGTGGTAATAGTTTAATTAGCTATTGATAAGCCTAAGGCTCTCCCAATAGGCAACTGCTGCAGATGTACCACTAAAGGAGGACATATACCATCCTAGCAGATGTACCATTAGGGGAGGACATATACCATCATATCCCATCCTATCAGGTGTGAGCTTTATGTTGAAGACACTGATTCCCTTGGTTGGAGGTGACATTTGGAAAGATGTTTGAAGGGGTCACTATGTTACATACCGAACCTCTTCTTGCTTATTTGGTTAAGGTCATGGTTGATAAAGTTTGTAATGGTAATGTTATTGTGTCTGTGACGATAGATGAGGGTTATTACTGTAGCACAAACACTTCAAAATTTTATTGCCTGACCTAGACATCTAGCTAGTCCTATATCAGATAGAATGGTATGACAATAACAATCATATGTTTAATTCCTCCTTATTATATTATTTTTAATATTAATGTTATTTATGTGCAGTCACAATGCTAAAAAGATGGAAAAAAGAAGCAACAATATAGTACTATTAACATTTTGACTTCATTATTGGATGTTATGAGGGCATTAGTAACAATCCAGTTGAGGTGCCATGAGATTCTACCATTTTTGGAAGGGAGGGTGATATCCCATTATATTTACACATGTTTGACGTGTTAAAGATTGTAACAGGAAATCTAGAGCTTAACATATCCATTATGCAGTTGTGAATGATGTAAGTTATTTAATTTAAAGTTTTTAGTATTTTAGTTATTGAAATATTAATTATTATGTCACTTGTTATAGGTATCTATCCCAATTACGTGTGAGTAAGACGAAAGATGAAATGTATGAATGTTTAGATCCTTAACTCATTCAATCATTGGGTAATAAGAAACCAGAGATACAAACATACATCACAAATAGTCTCTTATAAGAAAAAAGGATTTATTTTGCACCATATATTTATGAGTAATTAAATTTTCTTGATAATTTATCTTTATTCAATTCCAATTTTAACTATCTTCAATATGTTTCAATGTATAGTCATCATTGACAATTGCTTGTCATATATATGATTGACAACACGATCGCATGATTTTGTTCATTGCATAAAAGGTCACCACTCGTACCTTAAACAAATAGTAGACTGGTAATTAAATTTGCTTATTTTTATAGAAATTATTATATTACAATTATATTTTTTATATATGTTTTAACTAAGTGTACCTTTTATTATTGTTTATTTTGGATATAACATAATTAGCAGTAGGTTAAGTGAAATACCACAAAAGCTCACATGGTTGCATCTAAAGGTATAATCTATGGTATTTATTTACTTATTTATGTTACTAACAAGCTAATTTAATTTTTATATTTTAAGAAACGAGTTGTAATCGACAATCTGGAGGATATGAGTAGGGTTATTATGTAATGCAATGGATTACAACCATTATCCAAGTAGAAATAGATAGAGGTTGAGATCAAGTAAGATAATTAATATTTATTTAAAAATGATTAGGTACTGTAATTATAATTTTAAAAATTTATTTACCATATTGCAGTGTTTTATAAACACATCTCCCATGAATACAAATTGTATACATTATATTAGATGCACATGAGCATCATACTTCATTAACACGATTAATTCATTACAATAGCTTAGTTTCACGACTATATATATGGTTGAACCTTAGGATAGTTGACTAATTAGTCTTGTACGTTTAGGATAATTTACTAATCATACTTGTAGAATTTATAATGACTTTATTTTATAGTAAACTAATATTATATAGTAAATATTGTATATATTAATGATTATGTATTACTGTATATATGTTTAGAATTTGTATTGTACTAGATTTTGTATATTTGAATACGTAGAAAATGGAAAAAAACCTAAAATAGATTTCAATTTAAAAAAAAAACAATATACAATAACGATTAATACCATACTCATGTCTGATGCAAGGCTTCAATGACGAGTATGACAACAAATGTCGTTGTATTGTACGAGACAACGATGAGTATTTGTAATTAATTGTTATTGTATGTCATAAAATGACAGGTAAACACCTGCTGTTGTACCTCTCACATACAACGACAACTCCATCAACAACAAATTTTTAACCGATATGGTAGGTTAAATTTAATCATCCTTAATGTTCTTTTTACTTTAGTGTCTCTATATACATTAATATTTACGTTTACGAATCATTTTTAAATGAGCAAACTTTTTTAGGTAGAAATTTAAATTTTTAAAACGTATGTACCTACCTATCTTTTCTGGATGAGATAACTTTTTTTTCTTTAGATAGAAATTACAATTCATCATAGTTACTTTAGATTTGATATATATACATTTAGTTTTCATGAGATTAATATCACTCTTTCGAAAAAATCGAACTGGTTGGTCTAATCGAAATTGAAATCACCACGAGAATACCGAGAATATGTTATTTTTAAATAATCAAAATTTATTAAATAATATAAAATTATAAAAATTGGTATAAAAGGATAAAATTGAAAAAATAAATTGAATTTTTAAATTGAACATATTTTTATAAAAACTTATTTTAAATATCAAATTTTAATTTTATTTTAATAAATTACTTTATAAAAAATATAATATTTTTCAATTTTTTTATCTCATAATAACATTAAATTTAAATAATAATAGTTTTATTATATTTTATTTTATATTAAAAATTATTTATTTTTACTCTTTATTATATTTTATATTTATAAGTATTATTTTAATTTACAATAATCATAATAATTTTATTATTTTTCTATTTTAATAGAAATTATTGTAAATATAATAAATTTATTATATATTTTATATTATAAAAATATTATTTTAATAAATATGATTAAATATAAATTAAATATTGATTGAAACTTCTAAAACTATTTATTAATATATATTTTTATTTAAAAAGTAGTATATATAGATAGAGAAAAAGTCTTTGAATGACTCGTCCGAGTCGGAAGAGGAGCACGAAGATCAAGAGCCAAATGAGGTTGGTAATGGAGATCTCCGACATTTAACACGAGAAAAAGTCAGACATCTTGACATTCACAATATGTAATGACAAGTCATGATGGGTATTGTCTTCTAAATGAAGAAGGAAAACCTTCAACTTTTCAAGAGGTTATGAGTTGTTTAAATGCTTCTTTGTGTATGACTGCAATGCAGGAAGAAATTAAAGCTCTTCATAAAAATAAGACATGAAATCTTGGGAACTTCCGAAAGGTCGAAAAATCATTGGTTGCAAATGGGTCTATAAGATCAAAGAGAGATGACAATGATCAAGTAGAAAGATATCGTGCTAGATTGGTGGTAAATGGATATGTTAAGAAAAAAAGGTATTGATTTCAATGAGATATTCTCATTGGTTGTTAGATTGATGTTCATCAGAGTTGTCCTAGCTATGTGTGCCGCATTTGATTTACATCTTAAACAATTGGATATAAAGACTCATTTTCTTCATGGAGATCTTGAAGAGGAAATTTATATGCTCCAACCAGAAGGCTTTAAAGAACAAGAAAACTTGGTTTGCAGGTAGATCAAATATCTATACGATCTAAAGCAGACGTCCAAATGTTGGTATAAGAGATTTGATTCCTTCATTATTTGTCTTGGTTACAATAGACTAAGCTTAGACCATTGTACATATTACAATAGGTTTGGTGATAATGATTTTGTTATCTTGTTATTGTATGTGGATGACATGTTAGTAGTAGGCTCCAACATAGATCGAATCCAAGAGTTAAAGGCACAACTGGCTAGGGAGTTTGACATGAAGGAGTTGGGACCAGCAAACAAGATTTTAGGAATGCAAATTCACAGAGACAGAAAAGATAGGAATGTTTGGCTTTATTAAAAGAATTACTTACTGAAAATCTTGCGGAGCTTCAACATGTAAGATTGCAAGCTAATTTCCACCCCACTTCCTATCAATTGTAAGTTAACCTCAAGTATGAGTCTGAACAATGAAGCGGAGAGGATGAAAATATCTCGAGTACCGTATGCATTAGTAGTGAAAAGTCTTATGTATGTCATGATTTATACAAGACCAGATATTGCACAAGCAATGAGAGTAGTTAGTAGATTCATGGGAAACCCTGGTGGAGAGCATTGGAGTGCATAAAGAGGATCCTTAGATACATCAAAGGAACCTCAAGTGTTACATTATGTTATGGAGGATCAAAACTAGTTGTTAAAGGCTATGTTGATTCAAATTTTGCAGGTGATCAGGATAAAAGGAGATATACTACTGGTTATGTGTTTACAATTGTAAGAGGGGTAGTAAGTTGGTTATCTAAGTTACAGGAGGATGTTGTAGCTCTGTCTACCACAGAAGCTGAGTACATGGCATCCACCCATGCATGTAAGGAGGAACTCGGGCATAAGCAACAACAAATTGTTGTGTATTGTGATAGTCAGAGTGTCTTGCACATTGAAAGGAATCCAGCCTTTCATTCCAGGACAAAACACATAGGAATAAAATATCATTTTGTTTGGGAAGTAGTGGAAGAGGGTAGTGTGGATATGCAAAATATTCACACGGATGAGAACCTAGCAGATGTTATGATAAAGCCAATTAATGTTGACAAATTTGTATGGAGTCGATCCTACTATGGCCTAACGAAAAAATAAGCAACATGGATGACAAGAATAAAGCAAGTATGGTGTGAAGATTTGATTAATTTAATCAAAATCTTCAAGTGGGAGATTTTGAGAAGAAAAGTCTCACATACGGGAAATCTTAGTTTGGTGTTTACTTTTCTTATTATAAAAGGAGCACAGTGTTTACCTTGTAAAAAACACCAAAATGACTTCCTTTTCTTTCTTTTATTGCTTTAGTACGAGATAAATTAAGAGAGAAAAATAGTTTTTCCTTTTAGGTTCTCTTAGAGTTGTTTTTCCTTTATTTTCAGGAGAGGGTGTTATTGTTTCCTCCTTGGAGGTAGAGAGAGAAGGGTTGTAATTTCTTTCATTTGTGGAATTACTCTTTTGCCTATTATCGGTGTTTTTCTCATATTTTTATTTTAGTTGTGTGTGATTATGCTTTTGTTTGATACCTAACAAGTTCATTGGTGTTATTTCTCTCTTGTGAATCCCCCTTGAACGACCCACCAAGTAGTATCAGAATATGACCCAAAACCTTAAGGCAGGTTATGGGTCTTTCGAGAGGTCCTAACAACAAGGAGATTTCTACCAAATATGGGACTTCAAACTTACACTTGAAAAGTATGACCCATATAAGAGAATATGACATTACCTTCAACCCAAAACATTAAGACATTAGGTCTCACTTATAAGTTACTCAACTTATTAGGTTATGGATCTTTCTTACTTATAAGTTAGTCAACTTTCTCATTTCTACCTA